GTGCCTTGGGTTACTGGGGAGACCTGGCCACCTCCTGAAGGAGGAATTTTTGTCCCCCTGTGTCAAGGGTGGCCCAGCCATTGCTGAACTCACCAGAGAGATAGCCTGCGAGAGCTCAGAGCTCCAGGCTGGTCCCTGCTCTTCTAAAATGCTTGAACTTGGGGCAGAAAAGTGTTTCCTGCTGTACTTGACATTTTCTTATTACCTATGAGTGTTTAATCTTTCTTTGTGTCCTGCTGAGCCTCTGAGAAAGCAATTTGGGGGCTGTATTTCTAAAGAAAATTCAAAGCTTAGCAGGTGTTATTAGTACTTATACGAGGTCGCACGCTACTTTTGCTCATTACAACAGGAAAATCAGAATATCTCCGCTGACTTTAGATGTGCAATATTTGAGGTTCTAACTCTGCTTTTTGTACCTGCCTTAGAAGAGCTGCTTGCTTCTCTGTTTTACCAAGTGGTGATTCTTGTAGCAGGCCAAAAATCACTTTGGTTGTCCGCTCTTTGGGTCATTCACTATCTGATGCATGTGACCTCAAAGCAAAGCCCGTACTGAAAGTCGACTGAACTAAGTAGCATGATTGTAGCTTTGCCCCAGAATAATTAAGAAAACTTTATTTCTTTAAATTGATATTTTGAATCTTTTTTTCCCCTCGAGAGGACTCTAGCTACTTACCTCTCTCTACCTCAGGCCAAATTGCTTCTCCTGGTGCCATGTAATCTTGATTTCTCAGTGCCATTTAAATAATCGTACTCATTAACAGACCTAAAGAGGTTAATTTTGATTCATTTTGGTGGATTGAATAGGCCTGGTCAAACGGGTTAACATGACTGTCACTGTGCAACATAAAGGATTTAAACTAGGGTTGGTGTTGTAAATGTGAGACTCTAGCCAACTTTATTACCATGGCAAAGCACATGCAGAAGTGCATGCCACTGTTTGGAAACACTGAGTAGAACACGCCATGGAAAACAAAAACAAAGAAAAGCAGAGATGAGAAACTCAAACATTGCACAATTAAAGTCAGCAGACATATTCCTGCCTACATTACTAATCATCACAATTAATCACAGAATGGTTGAGGTTGAAAGGGACCTTTGGAAAGCATCTAGTGCAGCCCCCCTGCTCAAGCAGGGTCACCTAGAGCATGTTGCCCAGGACTGTGTCCAGATGGCTTTTGAATATCTCCAAGGAAAGAGACTCCACAACCCCTCTAGGCAACCTGCGCCAGTGCTCAGGCACTCTCACATTCAAGAAGTTTTTTCCTCATGTTTGGATGGAGCTTCCCGTGTTTCAGTTTGTGCCCGTTGCCTCTCGTCCTGTCACTGGGCACCACTGAAAAGAGTCTGGCCCCACCCACTTGACACCCTCCCTTCAGATATTTGTACACATTGATCAGATCCCCCCCTCAGTCTTCTCTTCTCCAGGCTGAACAGCACCAGCTCCCTCAGCCTTTCCTCATAGGAGAGATGCTCCAGTCCCTTCATCATCTTCATAGCCCTCCGCTGGACTTACTCCAGTAGCGCCATGTCTCTCCTGTACTGGGGAGCCCGGAACTGCACACAGCACTCCAGGTGAGGCCTCACCAGGGCTGAGAAGAGGGGGAGGATCCCCTCCCTCCACCTGCTGGCAACACTCTT